AGTAAGTCAGGTGGAGGTTGAAGCTTCCCATCAAAGATCTATTATCACGGTGCCTAGTTAAATTATTCGCATGATTCTGCTTTTGAAACGATCACTTCGAACATGGTTCTAGTGAAATGTACTATAAAACCTTAGTATTTACTCCATTTTCTACCATTCGGCGGCTTCTCACCTTTTTTCTACCTTAACTCAATACATATATCATACATTCTCCGATAAATGACATAATCATCTGGGTACACATATATCTTTTCATCTGAGTACACATATATCTTTTCATACTCTATTCTTAAAGTTTTTGAAAATCTTCTCGCCCAATTAGTACGTACTAGGCATTTGTCTCGTTCACTTCACGAATTTGAGTTTTTAATTTGAGTTAAGATGTGACATTTTCTGAGAGTTTTTTACTGTAGCAGAAAAAGTTAAATGTGATATTTTCTGAAAGCTTTTTACTGTAAAAATTTAAAACTGAAAACTCAAATCGGTAAAATGAAAGATGCCTTAATTTATTATTCTCTTTGAGAGTCTCCCTTAAAAATTCTAAAAGATATATATGAAACTTATAATTCATCAACCTGCCCGGCATTTTCAAGCTCCATAATCTAACCAAAATAGATTGTTTGTAAATTTTTTACACCATTACATAAAGGTTCCTCCGCATATCTTTCATTGTCTCAAATAACTACAAACAATGCATAAAATCTTTTTCCATATCAAACATCATGTCGACCATATTATTTTGTCGTCATCTTCGTTCGCAATAGATTCCCTTCATCTTGTCGCCAATGTTGAATTAAGAATAATTTTATCGTGCCATAATTTCACAAATTTACATAATATCCAAACAACTTATTTCATGAAACCCATGTTTAATAAAAATAAACTAATATCTCAGTTTTATCACATTTAAACGTAAAATTTTGTACGCTCATTGTCTAATCTTAGCAATCAAAAAGTAGATTAATTTGAAAAAAAAAAAAAAAATCATTCAAAATCTCACAAAAAAACCCAACGATGTAAAGAAAAAATCGTACAAAGTACCTTTGAAAACAAAACAAAATAAATAAATAAAAGTGCAGCTTTTGGACAGCTCTAGGTATAACCGTATAAGCATGCTATTTTTGAGCTTTTGAAACTATCTATTTTTTCCCTCCATACATTAGACGACGGCTGTCTAATACAAGCATTAAATATGGTTTCCATAAAAGTGACATCTGATGTCCTATAAGGATTTTTAAAACTCGAAAATTTTCATGCCACTTTTTTTTTTTTACCACATTATTAGACGCTTTTTAACAAACGTGGTTAAAATGACGCCATCTAATTTCAAGTTTATAGTAGTGTTGAAATATACTAAATATTCTCAAAATCATAACATATATATAATGTAGATAATATATATATATATAGTCCACATAATTATTCTTCTCCAATGTCTTAATTAAGGATTATAATGTTGATTATATGTATATGTAGCTCGCTCTAGCTGGTTACAGACTTAACAGCGCCAGCTAAGACACAATTAATTAACTTCTTTAACTAATTGTATCAAACATTATAAGTAATTAGCTATCTTATGCCGGATTGCAATAATGTTATTGGCCATTGCGTACTTCAAGCAAAAGCAATACAATACAATCATGTATGTCTACCAATTCGTAATTATACATGTTATATTAAAATTAAAGCAATTACGTTTGTTTATAATAATTCAAAGGTAGTTAGCAAAATAATAATTATAACGAGAAGAAAAACTTGTAAAGCACTGTTTTGTATATATATATCTGAAAATTATAAGTCTAAAAGATATATACATATATGTGTGTGTATTTGTGTATATAACCCAGCAGATAAAGACATGTTTTATGATTAGAATGTAGACCATATAAATAGTAGAATGGCTAATATTGATGATATTATATATATATATATATATCTTCAATTCATACTGAAGTGTGGGGACACCTTTAATTTTTTTGTATGTACTACATAAAGAAGTAATCAACGTGACATGCGATAGTTAGTGGAACCCTGTTAATGATTAATATGAGTTAGGGTTTTCTGAGTAAATATTTTTTTTTTCTGGGGTCAACTATATATATATATATATTAAAAAAACTATATGTAGACGTATTATTATTATTTTCCCATATTAGAAACTGTCTTCTATATAAGGAAACCAAAGTGAGCTACAAAAGAAACAACCCACCCCCCCCAACCAAAAAAAAAAAAAAAAAAAAAAAAAAAAAAATAGCATCTTCCAGAAAAAGGCCCTATTTGAAAGATCAGATCACAGATCAGATCAGTGGCATGGAACAAAAAAGAACAAAAAAGATGAGTTTGGAAATGATACATCGATGTGATTTCCCCCTGGTGGTGTACGACATGTTTTTTATTCATTGTTGCTCATCTTCAAATAAGTAACGCAGAAATTAAGCCAACTATAGGACAGTACTTGTCCTTTTGTGCCCTTAGAAATGTGCCACGTATTTGAGGGCCCAGCTCAAAATGATGACACCTTGGATAGTGGGATACGAACCATTGAAAACCACGCAGAAAGCGACACACAAACTATTGAATTACATTCAGCAAATTAAAAGCAAACTGTGGAACTATAAAAAAACTAGGACCCATTTAGTCCGCTGATTCGAGTTTTTAATTCGAGTTGAGATATAATTTTATATGAGAGTTTTTTACTGTAACAAAAAATTAGATGTGATTGTTTCTGAAAGCTTTTTACTGTAACAAAACTCGAATTTTAAATTCGAATCGATAAAGTGAACGGGGCCTAAAATCCGATTAAGTTTGATTTGAATTTAAAATTTGAATTTTATTATAATAAAAAATTTATAAAAATTATCACATTTAATTTTTTTTTGTTACAGTAAATTTTTTTACATAAAATTATATATCAATTTGAATTAAAAACTCAAATTAATGAACTAAACATGTCCGTAATTTTTTGTTTTTATCATTAAATTTGTATTAAAATTATTTATTATACATATTTTTTTAATATAAAATAATTTTAATCAAATTTAACAGTTAAAAATTAGATCTATCGCTAAAAAAATCCTATCAAAAAAGCCCCCAAAACTAAATACAAAAAATAAAAACGTACATGTTATGCTTCTCAAACTTTTAGAGTTTATTTTTAATCATTAGATTCGATTAAATCACATTAAAATGTAAAAGTACATAAAATAAATAATTTTTAATACGTATTTAATTATAAAAAAATCTATAATTATTTCTGTTTTTTTAAAGGCCATAGTAGATATTTTTATTGTTAAATTTGTATAAAAAATTATCTATTTTATATATTTTTTAATTTAATATAATTTTAATTAAATTTAATAATAAAAAATTAATACTTTAGTAGAGAAGCCTACTAAAAAAAAGTCAATTGTAAAGAACTGACACAGCGACGCAGAAAACGAAGGATTCAGTACTACTACTTCTTTTGCACATTACAGAGTTCAGATTTTTGAACTAAAAACGCCTAAACAATAATCAACAGATTGTTTTTTTTTTTTTTTTTTTTCAACAGAAAGTTAAAAGATATACTTTGTAATCAGAAACTCAAAAGATATACTTCAGTTTCGTGTACCGATTTGGTTATCAAAGTTTTGATACCAAGGTAGCTGATTTGTCAACTTCCACTTAGTATCTGACCAAATATACCTAATTAATAATTATGTTTCTTAGGACTGAATAGTATACTTTTACGGCTTTTATCCATTGTACAATGATGATAATAAATGAGTAAAGGAGACTGATCTGTAGTACTAGCTAGATTTATTATGTTTCTTTTTTGGAAAAAAAAAAAGAAAAAAAAGATTTTTTTTTGAACTTTGGACGAAGGAATTCAAATTAAAAAAAAAAATCTCAATATTGAGTGTGAGTTCATTTGAGCGTGACAGATTTTATCTTTTTTTTTTTAAATGCATTACAAGTAAGTATACTGTTAGATCATTATATATATAGCAAAAAGAAGGAAAAAATAACGTATATTGAATTAAAAACATTATTGATCACAACTAAATGAATGGAGAACTAAATATCGGTTAATAGACATTTTTTTCGGGCTAAAATGCTCATTAATTAAAAGACCAAGGATATATTAGGAATGGTAATTTTATAATTGGCTAATTTATTTATCAAGCTCCCAAAAAAAAATTATCTATCAAGTTTTGCCCACTAACATATGACAAGCTTCATAGCATTTTAAATAAACAAATATGATATGTATTGCTAACTCTTTTTTTTTCCCCTAATTATAACATAATAAAAGAAAGGGCGCCCACTAAACTGGCTAGAATTTATTTAGTATGCGATATTAGTCTTCTTTTTCATATTATATGGTGGTACTTTTAGACTAAATATTAAAAACCTAAGAAACCTTAATTCCACAAAGAGTAATTGCCTATCAAGTTTTGGTCATTAAATTACATCCGTTAAAAGATTTATCAATTTTTTTTTTTTGAATAAGAAAGCTTTACTAAAAGGAAAAAAAAAAGGTCTTATAAAACTAAATCATAAACAGATCACTAAGAAAATTAAACACAAAATTTACATTAAACATCAAAAGAAGAAAACTATTAGAAAAAAAAAAATAAAACTCTCTCATTTTAAAACCCTTCCCCCACTTCGAGCTCTAAGTTCGTAAGACTATAGTTTCTTCACAAGATTCTTTTCCGTTTTTTTAGAGAAACAAAATGTGTCAATTTTTTATATCAAGTTTAATTTTAAAAAAAAATAGACTTCACAAATTTTTGATTGAAGTGAAAACCATATACATATTATATATAGCGGCAAGAACTAACTTGATATCAATGATGCAAAACTAACTTAGATATTTCATTTTATCAACTGTAACATACAAATCATGATCACTGTCAGGCCATCTATTGGCCAGGACTTGAAAAACAATTAATTAAGCCTTATTACCATACATAATATAACTAAGAAAGCCCCCGGATAGATATGACAATCCCCATTTTTATTTCATACATGCATATATTGTGCTAAACTGGAAGTTCTTGTTTTTATATTTATTGATTTTTATTATACATGATCTCCCTAGCTGCTCGCTGCAGCCTCTTCTTGTTGTTAGCGTCTCCTGGCCGCGGTTTCCCTCTGCGCATTGAAGTAAACAGCGGCGACGGGAAGGCCCAGATCGTTCTCAGCGGCGAAGTTTCTGGTGTTGAAATGATCTCTTGATGAAGGTGGGTTTACAGATTGTCTGCTTTTCTGCTTGAAGAGAACAAACACAAACCTGTGGATGCCTATATTAGGCTTTGGCATTTCATAGCTCACCACTTCCCTTCCTGTAATCACAAAACTCACACAAACTAAAAAAAAAAAAAAAAAAAAAAAAAAAGAAGGGAAATGTATAGAAATTAACAAAAACCTCATTATGATCAGTGGATCTTTGATGATCTTGAGGATCTGGTTTTATGATTATTTCCTTTTTCCAAAAAATATATATGTATAATGGACTTACCAAATGTTGCATCTGTTGTGCCTGGTATGTCCGTCACTATCCTGTTAAGGACTCAAAATGAAAACTGTTAAGTTTCTTTCTAAATATAATATTTGTCATCTATATATACACATAAATCAATAATTATACATACATGCATGTTCCTATATATATATATATATATATATAAAAGTGTGGTTTTAATAGTTTCTCTAATATTTATCCACCCATCAATGAGTATCATTGTTTTAACAGTAAAATATTAATCCGACAGTTATAATAAATTATATAGTTGACAAAAAAATTTATATAATTAATAAAATTGTATTCTTATCACGCCACGTCATTAAATTTTTATATTTATGAGTAACCATCGATAAAAATATAAAAACTCGTGCATATATATATATATATATATATATATAAGTTTCTATCTAAATATATGCTTGTTCTTTCATTTCCCTTTGAATAATATCTGTATGTGTACAAAGTGAATAATTTCTTTAAACCAACTCATTTTACGAATATACATGAATATTCACTACTCAGAAAAGCAAGAAAGAATTTAAAGTATACCAGTATATAAGTAAATTCTATTCATTATTTACTCATGTTAGCTGATCACAAGTAGGAACTTTTTTAGATACGAAATAGTAAATAAATCAAGTGTGAACATTCGATCCGTACAAAAACATTGTTTGATGTCAATCTGAATAATGAATATTGTACAATTTTTGCCAAAAAAAAATATATATATATTTGCTTTACCAAAACAACTGGTACTTCTCATGCCAATTTGTTAAAAATACACTAAATTAAATTAATTCTTTCTTCTCTTTCCATTTGTTTGGTGTAATACAGAAAAATCAAACTGTATCTTAACTTTTAGTTTTGTTATATGCTGAATTCATATTATACTTTGATCCTTTTTTTTTTTGTAGAAAATTATTTGGAACTAGCTCAAAGGTAATATTTATGTTTTTTTTTTTTTTTTTTTGAGTTTACAAGAAATAAAAGTTCAAATTTACCTAAGCATTACTATTACTAGCAAAATATTTTTTCATTTTTTTTCAAAAAATAAAGATTTTAGTACTTTTCAGTCCTTTCCGAATTACCAAAAATATGACTATTACCAGTGGAGATGCTCCCTTAAGTAAGGATCACTGGGACCAGGAACATCTGGGTCAGTCATAATCTGCAATTATTGGTTAATGAAGAATTAACACAAGATCTACAATGAAACAGAAAGTGATTAAATGGCTTGATTAGTAAGATCTAAAAAAGAAGTTTAACATAACCCTAGCTAATTGATCTAAGGAAAGATCTAAAAAGGAATTAAGAAACACATAAATTAATATGATGATGGTAATAATCAAGGAGATCTGAGAGAGATCTTAAGGTAACTAATTAATTGATTGAATATGTAAAATAGTTAATTACCAGTGTGAAAAAACATCTCATATCACCTCCTTGAATCTCAACCCTAGGTTTTGTGGTAACTGCCGAGGGAAAAAGCTCATGTCCATTGCAAACTTGCTTCTTGTTGTAAGAAACTGACATTTTTGTGGTTGGAGTGAAGGAGTCAAGAACATCTCCTATCACTCTCCCAATGACAAGAGGCTCTGACATTCTTTCCATAACACAAGAGAGAGAGAGAGAGAGAGAGAGAGAGTAAACAGAGAAATGGATAAGACTAGTTAGGAAACAAAGGAATGAAAGGAGAAGAAGTTATAAGCTCTTAACGGGCATGGAACTAGAAGCCCCTGTATTTATAGTGTCTGAAGTACGCTGCAAGTTATAGTTTAATCAAGACTTTAGATCTAGTGAGGTTTTTTGGAAGAGGAAGAATATTATATAGGAAATACAAAAGAATAGAATATTTCAAACATATATAGAAGAAGAAAATAAAAATTCATACAAGAAAATAATTACCTATAATATAGCTAGCTATGTGTTCACCACTTCTCATCCTTTCCTTTGCTCTTCTTTTCCGTCTTTTTGGTACATCAAAGAAGAGTTCTAGTAGTGCTTTTATTTTCTATGATATCTTTTTTTTAGAAGTGTTTTATATGATATCTTAGATATTAGTATATATATCCTTAGTAAATTCGAGTTGAGATATAATTTTATATGAGAATTTTTTATTATAATAAAAAATATTAAATGTAATTTTTTATATGAGTTTTTAATTTTAATAAAATTAAAATTTAAAATTTAAATCAGTAAAATGAACGAGCTCTTAATCTCTCTCTTTCTCTCTCCTCTCATGGTGTTGGGTCCCTTGGAATCGGTTCTTGATTGGTTGTATTCCTGACTAAAAAAATTTTCTTCCTCCATGAATTATATTTAATCCTTGCAGGTGGGTCCTCATCATCAAGCAATTAATAGTTGTCAAGTCTGCTATTTAGGGAAAAAAAATGTAAAGCAAAAACAACAACAAATAAAAATAAAAATAAAAACCCTTTATATATGGGGTTCTTCTTGGACATTCATGGACTGCCAAAGGAAAAGTTCTCTTTTGCAATTAAGGTAAGGAAGACCATATTGAGATTTATATATATACACTATCATTTATAGAGAATAATCTGAGTTTCATGTTATAGAAAGGAACTTACCATATTTTCGAAGAGATTCTCTTTGAGAAGCCGCTCAAGGCATAAAGGAACTCCACCACACCAAAATATATATTACTGCAATCGATGAAAGATGATTGCCAAGAGGTCATATCGTATATATGTGTATAACTATATACATATATATATATATATGTATACATATATTATATATAAGTTTCAAAAGAAAAAAGAGGTTAATTCGTAGGAGAGTTCCAAGTTCGGCAAAAGAAAGAAGTTGGTTTTTCTATAACTAGAAGCTAGTCTAGAAAGCCAAAGCCGCTTTTTCTATACAACGCTGGACCTCACGTGCCAAATCGCCAAACAAACAGCACCCCCAATGTGTTTTTTTTTTTTTTTTTTCTTTCCTAGCCAATCTTTTGTTTTTATTTTATTAGTTATCTGTAACGATTCTCGTTCATGTATTTCCCCTAAAGGAATTTTCAGTTTTTAACCGTTGGTTTCAAAGTTGTTTAACGATGCTCGTGACAATTTCACATCCTATTCTACTAGTCATCCTTTACGTGTCATGTTATAAGATAATTACCATCCCCACCCTTAGTCTACATGAAGAACATGTATACTTTGACCAACCCCTACCCTACTGTGGCAGCCTATGTTATGGCATCCTCAGTTTTATACTTTTATTGATTTTATTTGTGATAGGAAGTCCCGGGGAGGGGATAACATATTGTGCATTAAGCATATCTCTCTTTAGCGTTAGAGGATTCTTTAAATATTGATAAAAATGTTCGTTAAAAGTCTTATGGTTGGACCCCACTCCTTAATAAGTACGAGGGTGGTTCAAGGCAGTAAATCGAGTACTAATTAGGTTAGCGGGGGCAAACCTTAACATAAAAAAGGATTAACCAACAGTCAAATTTTTAACCACACCCCTTGATAAGTATGGGTGTGGTCTAAGATAGTAAATCGAGTACTAACTAGGTTAGCATGGGCAAATCTTACCCTAAAAAAGGATTAACCAACACTCAAATTTTTGACCACAAGCCTATTTTGTAGTCCATGTACTGTTATGCTTTGTTGCATGATGTTGTATTTTCATCATCATCACAGGTCATTTACATCATGTTTGGTTGGGGGAGGAAGAGAGGTGGAGGGAGATCTAATTTATTGTTTAATTAAAGGGATGAGAGAAATGAGATATGAGGTGGAGGGATGTAGTCTCCCTCCTAATCCATTAAAATCCATCAACATTTAAAGACTATTTTTTATCCTCTGATAAATTTATTAGTAATTGGCACGGATAGATAATAGCAACAAATTTATTAGTAATTTGCGTACAAATAGATATATGAGGTGAGGAATTTTATTTGGACGGGTGATGTAGATAAAAGAAAGTTGGTTTTTGTGGCTTGGAAAAAAATGTATGTTTTCCATTTGAGGAGGGTGGTTTGGGCGTCAGGTATTTGAGGACGTATAACTTGTCACTTCTTAAGAAGCTTGCTTGGAACATAATTCATGAAGCGTGGTTATGCCTTTTTCAGATGCATACATTTTAAGAATAGACTTGAGCCTAAATTGTCTCATTGCATGTCTTCGGAGAGACTTGGTTGGTTCTCTTAATTCTTGATTCGCGTTGGCCTATTGGTAGCAACTCTTAAGTTTTCTTTTTGGTTTGGTAATTTGTGTGGCGTTGTGTTAGCGGATGCTGTAGGGATTCCTACTCATCTTGATGCTTCTTTTAAGGCTTTGGTTAGTGATTTTGTGCTGGATGGAAGGTGAAATATTACAACATTTTTTAAGATTGCTTATCGGGACTGCTGGGGTATGATTGATAAGGTTGCCATTCCAATTGATTCAGATGATTGTTTGATTTCTAGGTCTTGGGGTTGTTCAGGTAAGGATGTCGTATGAGATTTCTCGTGCTAGAGTTGCTCCTAATGGTTGGGGTAATAAAATTTAGGCGCACTATATTCCCCCCCGTTATCTCCTTTCTTATTTGGAGGTTGTCGTATGAGAAGCTTCCTGTGGATCTCACTTTAAAGACTCTTGGCATGCAATTTGTTTCAGCTTGTAGCCTTTGTGGAATGGCTGAGGAGTCCATTCTTCATCTACTTTTGGAATGTCCTTATTCTCTTGGCCTTTGGAATTGGATTGTGTTGATTTTTAATCATAAAGTTTCTTGTACCAATGGCATTGGCGATTTGTGGCTTTCTATTTTTAGAGCTAATTTTAGTCCTCTGCTCAAGAAACTTTGGATCCTTGCTTTTATGGCTAGTTGTTCGTTTTGTTTGGGATCTTAAGAGTAAGGCGCGTTTTAAAGCGGCTAGTGTGAATCCTTTGGCTGCCTGCACTTCTATTCTCGGTAATCTCCCGTCGTCCGAGTTTTTCAACTTGGGTTGTTCTTATAATCTGTTTTTGAGATTCATATCCTCAAGAAATTACGGGTGTGTTCAGGTGCTCAAAAAACTCAAAAAAAAAAAATAATTCGAATTCTAATTTTATTTAAGTTCATGTTCTTTTAAGTTTGAACTCGAGTTTGGGATTAAAACTCGAGTTCAAGTGTCCCCTTCAACTCGGGTTCAGAAACTCGAACTCAAATTAATGAACAATATTTTTTTTATTCTTAAAAATATTATAATTTTTTCGTTTTAATCCTGATTGAGATGATTTTTTTTTTCTATGCGTTGACAACAAAAAGACGAATAAAACTCCACCCATATACCCTATTAAAATTTTTCATCACCATTGAGTTTTTATTAAAATACTATTTAAATACAAATTTAAGTTTTGACTCGTTTAAACACAAACTCAAAAAAAGATTCTTATCTCAAACCATAACTCAAATGTACACAACCAAACACAAACTCAAGTTACAACTTTAACTCAAGTTATAACTCAAATTCAACTCAAAAATTACACTTAAGTCACACTCCGAAAAAACAGACCCTACATGTCCGTAAGCTTTTGCCTCGTAGTCCTAAGATTCTTCCAGTTTATTGGATCCCTCCTCTACCAGGGTGAGTGAAAGTTAACACTGATAGTTCAGCTAAAGGAGCCCTTGAAACGATCAGTTGTGGCGGAATTTTTAGAAATGCTTGGGGTTTTATTTGCGGTTGTTTCAGTGTATTTCTTAGGAAAGGTTTTGCTTTTGAAGTTAAAATGTGGGCTATAATTAATGTCATCTCTATTGCTTCTGAGAATGGTTAGAAAAAGTTGTGGTTTGAGAGTGATTCTTCCTTAATCATTTCTCTATTGAGTTTTAATTCTTTGCAGGTGCCTTGGAGATTGGTAATGATTAGAGCATGGCTCTTTCCTTGTCCAAGAGGATGAATTTTCGTTTTTCTCATGTGTTGCGCGAAGTTAATAAAAACTTATTTATCTTAGAATCATTAATTGTTGCTGAAAACTTATTTATCTTAAAATCATTAATTATAATAGAATGTGGTGGACTCATTATCTTGATTCTTTAAAATTTTATGTGTGCAGAGATTATACTGGTTTACCTTTTTACAGATTCACTTGATTTTTGTGGTGGTTGTAATATGTTTTTCTCTTCCTTAAAATAATGGGCCTCAATTGAGGTGATATTCATTGAAAAAAAATAGTCAAATAATTATCATTAATCATTTTAATACAATCTTTTTTTTACTAAACAATATGAAGAATTCATAAACAGTCTTTTGCTTCCTTCACTTTCTCCATTGCTCCAACTCTTTTTATCTTTCTTCCTTTCTATCCTTCTAACTAAACAGAACCTTAATGTTATGGTAAGACTTTCAATTCTTTTTAATAGGATTTTGGGTAAAAGTCAAGTATATAGAGATGAGTAAATATATGGAAGAACAATTTATTTCGTCAGGGATATATATGCTACACGAGGCTCCCTGCATCTAAAATTTATTTGGACATGCTATTTTCTATTTCAATAATTTTTATATGAAAAGTATGCAATATATATTATTATCATGTTATTTCCGTTTTGAGTTATTAGTGGAGTATTTTTTTTTTACCGTTGATATTTATCATAACACGTAATTTATCATCGTACAATATGTATTACAA